AAAAAAAAAAAAAAAAAGAAAGAAACCTGTGGCAGTCATGCCCACCTAGCCCAGGCCCAGCACCCCTGACCACTAGTGGGTGAGAGTTCTTTGAGGTCATTAACAGGGGAAGGCAGGCACCGTGGTGCACATCTATAATCCCAGCTACTTGGGAGGCTGAGGCAGGAGGATCGCTCAAGCCCAGGAGTTGGAGGCTACAGTGAGCAATGATGGCACCACGGCACTCCAGCCTGACCAATGTAGCAAGATCCTATCTCTGAAAATAAAAATACAAGGGAATATTGGACCTGCCAGTGGGGGCAGTTACTAAAAAGCTCAAAAAAGAATGAGGACAGACAGTCCCTACATTTTTTTATTTTTATTTTTTTGAGTCGGAGTCTCACTCTTGCCCAGACTGGAGCGCAGTGGCCGCTCCTGGCCACCACAGCCTCGCCTGCCGGGCTCCGGCGATCCTTCTGCCTCAGCCTTCCGAGTAGCTGGAACTACAGGCGCGCGCTACCACGCCCGGCTGATTTTTTGATTTATCGTAGAGATGAGGTCTCGCTGCCCAGGCGGGTCTCGAGCCCGCGGGCTCAGGCCATCCACTCCCCTCAGCCTCCCACAGGCGCGGGATTACAGGCTGAGCCACCGAGCCCGGCTTCCCTACATTTTTGTTTTGTTTTTTGAGTTGGAGTCTCACTCTGCCACCCAGGCTGGAGTGGGTGGCACAATCGTGGCTTGCCCTAGCCTCCACCTCCTGGGCACAGGTGATATTCCCACCCCAGTCTCCAGAGTAGCTGGGACTAGAGGTACACACCACCACGCTCGACTAAGTTTTTAATTTTTTTGTAGAGTCGAGGGCTCGCTATGCTACCCAGGTTGGTCTCGAACTCCTGGATTCAAGCGATCCTCCCACCTTGGCCTCTCAAAGTGCTGAGATGACAGGCATGGGTCCCTACATTCTGATCCAGAACAACCCCCACTTGGCCATGTCCTTAAGTGACATGAGCAGAACATGGGCAGAAGAGGAGTGGAGACAGTCAGCTGACACCTGCATACGGAGACCCTGGAAGTTTAGGACAGCATTCTCATGAAAGGGGTTCCCTAGGGGATGCAGTGGGTGGAATCTGGGTGGATGAGCCGGGCATGGTGACTCATGCCTGTGGGAAGTGGAGGGGAGAGGATTGCCTGAGTCCACGGGTTCAGACCAGCCTGGGCAATTTGGCGAGACCTCGTCTCTATAACAAATAAAAAAAAAGTTAGCTAGGTGTGGTGGTACATGACCGTAGTTCCAGCTGCTTGGAAGACTGAGGTGGAAGGATTGCCTGAGCCCAGCAGGTCGAGGCTGCGGTGGCTGTGGGCATCTCACTGAGCCCTCCAGCCTGGGCGACAGAGTGAGACTCCAACTCAAAAAAAAAAAAAGAATCCAGGTGAAGGGAACAGGAGGGAGGGGGAAAGGAAGTTTTTTTTAAACCTTTTGATTTTGAGGCCAGGCTTGGTGGCTCACATCTGTAATCCTGGTACTTTGGGAGACTGAAGCGGGATGTTTGCTTGAGCCCAGGAATGTGAGACAAGCATGACCAACATAGTGAGACCTCGTCTTTACAACAAAAATTTAAAAATTAGCCAGGCATGGTGGTGTACACCTGTAGTCCCAGCTGCTCAGGAGGCTGAGGCAGAAGGATCCCCTGAGCCCAGGAGATAGAGGCTGCAGTGAACTGTGAGCGTGCCACTGCACTCCAGCCTGGGTAACAGAGTGAGACCCTCAACTCACAAAATAAATAAATAATAAAAACCCTTTGTTGAAATAATTTCCACCTGACAAAAATTGCAAGAAAAATACAATGAGCTAGAATCCTTCATTCATTTTCTGATATGTATGTTAACATTGCATATCATGTTTGCATCTCTCTCTCTCCCTACACACTTACACACACACATGTTTTCACTTCTGAACACTTGAGAGTAAGTTGTCGACACGATGCCCCTTTACTGCTAAACACTTAAGCGTGT